AAACAGGGATACAGGGAAACTACGAAAGTTGGTAGATTGTTGAGCTGCATATTTTTCTGCAATAATTCTTGGTTTGTGTAAAAGTCATACTTGAGTCATATAAGGGGAGAATTTGAAATCAGCAAAATATAATGATATTGGAACTACACAATATGTAGAAAGATATGAATGAAAGCAATCCCCACCCCCACATAACTTTTTCAGTAGGATCAGGAATATGCTTAAACTGCACCTTATCCATCATATCATGCTGGACCACCTATATCAAAAAAACATAAACACTTAGCTCTTGAGAAGAAAGAACAAAGCAACTGCTAACATATCTCAGACTTTCATGATTCATGCTTTGGTGATTCATGCCAACGGCCAGGTGTCATTGTATGTGGCATGACTGAAGAACCTATATCAAACCTCATCTTCGAGAAAGTGTCAGAGAAATTAAGATAATGGGAAAAAATAATGCCTATTTAAGCTACATCTTAACTCTAAGAGAACTTTATAGCAATCAATCTTTTTTAAATAACAAAGAAACTAAGTCAATAGCATCTGAGCAACAGATGAGAATTAAAGCAAAATCTGTTGGCTAATGCTAACAGCTTTTGTGTTCTTTGTTGTTAAAAGCATGCATGTAGCAGCAACTCCAATATGCTTACAAACTCAGATTCAAAAGGTTATGGAAAACAGTTGCTATTTTTATACTAAAGATAAAATCAAACACCACCCTTCAGATCTTAATTTTGCTCAAATAGTGGAAGGAAACAAAACCTGAGGTGCTAGACGTCTAAAGGGTGCAGGACTTGGATTTCTGTTACATGGAAACACAGAGTATACTGGATAACAAAGGGGAAGAGTTGGCCCTGTATTATGGGCAATGAAGTGTATCAAGTATGTAAAGGAAAGGTTTCATTTAGTAATAGTTTAACAAACAGTTTTCAAATTTATACATAATTCTAGTTAAATTATTTTTATAGTTTTTCATTATTATCTTAGCAAGGATACTATTATAAATTACTATGACATTGTAAATGTAGTAATAATAATTATAATAATAACTTCATGGATTTTCTGTTGATGCTGTAAGAAATTACCAAAACTTAGTGGCTTGAAAATAATAAATAGATTCAAATTAAGGGGCTGGCTGGAGGGGATCCATTAGGTTGCCCTTTCCATCTTCTAGAGGCTGGCCACATTCTTTGGCTCATGTTCCCCTCCCTCTAGCTTCAAAACTAGCAGCACTGACTTTTTCTGCATCTTACTTCCTTAGTCAAATCTTCTTCTTCCATTTTAAGTTCTCTTGTGATTATACTGACTCCACTGAAGAAATTCAGGATAATCACCTTATCTTAAAGCCAGCTGATACGAAATAAATTCCATCTGCAACCTTAATTCTCCTTTGCTATGTACCATAACATATGCACAATATACACAAATCCTGGTGACCTGGTGATTAAGACATGGACACCTTTTTTTTGGGGGATGCTGGGATTTGAACTTAGGGCCTCACACTTGCCAGACAAGTGCTCCACCACTTCAGTCACTCTGCCAGCTGCCAGCCCTTTTTTGTGTTGAGTATCTTCAAGATAAGGTCTTGTGAACTATTTGCCTGGGCTGGCATTGAGCTACAATCCTTCTGATCTCTGTCTCCCAAGTAGCTAGAATTATAGACTTGAGTCATCTGCTCCTAGCTAGACAGGGACATCTGTAGGGGACTGTTATTATATTTGCTTTTGAGTGCAAGAATAGTTCTTACCAAGAATAGTTCTAAGCATATTAAATATTATTAAACAAATATAATTCTCACAATAATGGTACACTATTATTATTCTCAATTTTCAGATGAGGAAACTGAGGCACAGGGATTAAATCATTTGCCCAGTGTTACCTAGATAGAAAGAAGATAAGCCGTGATTAAACATGGAAGTCCATATGGAGAGCCTGTACTAGAACTTCATCACCTTAAAGACAAAATTTTTATCTAATATAATTATTACCAAGTTGCCTGTCACAGTCCACAACTTCTGACAGTCATAATTACTCAGAATAATGGTAAGTTTCAAAATTCAGGTGGTAAAAGGAAAGAGAATCTACAGACACCACTAGGAAAAATAAACCCAGTCCCCTCTACTTTAACCCTGTAAGGAAAGTAATTTTGATATGACCAATCCACTTTTTGCTATTCTTTTCTGCTTACAAGTCCCACATCGTCTGCTCAGCTCATATGAGAGCTTTTCTACTCTTTTCTATTTTGGACAGTGGGATACTGTCCAAATCACAAATCAGTAATTAAAATCAATGTGATCTTTAAAACTCAATTTGTTGAAATTTTGTTCTTTGATAGTCAGATGACTACTAGGATATCAGACTTGCTCAGGTAATCTCAGCAGAACAAGAGCATATCTTGTTATGACACATCTGGGGCAAAATTATTCCTAAATTTTTGAGTAGGAGGATACTGGAATAACATTCCATGAGCAATGGAAATGTCATAAGAAGGCTCAGAATGGTCATATTATTTTGTGTCCCCTAAATGTCTCTTTGCAGTTTATATGGGGGGTGGGGAAAAGGACAGAAGGAGGCGGAAGAGGAGGCGTGGGAGAGGAAGGGAGAGGAGGAAGAGGAAAAGGAGAAGGGAATTTTCTTTTTTGTTAGAAAATTTCAGCTGAAGATTCTAAACTGAGAAAAATTGGTATCATATACCAGCCAGTGTTTTAAAGAGACATACCACCTAGTGGTTTCATACAAGATGGCTAATCTGGCTCGCTAACTGTCTTATTCCGTCATTTACCTTTAGTTCATGGAAGAGAAGTATAGAGGCAAATTGATAGAAAATTATAGGAGTAAAGAAAGTAATGGAAAGAGATACTTTAACCTTGCATCCCCAACAAAATAAGTGTGTGTGGGGGGGGCGGGGGCTGAAATATAATTCCTCAGAGAATTTGGAGGAAATTGTATGAAAGAGACTGCCACCTTGCATTCTTGTGGCAGTCTGACATTGCCCCATAGGTGGGATGACACAAAACTGGAGCTTGACTTGTTCTGGAGAAGTCTGAGGGTGCGAGGCTGGTTGAACATCCCTGTGGTAGGTTGAACAGAAAGGAGAGTGGTAGGAAGAAGCTGCACTTGCATGATTTGGAGGGGTCAGAGATCAATGATGCTGGCAGAACAAGAAGAAGTTGCAGGAAGTTAAGTTAGAGCCATCTCAAACCACACTGGCCAAGAAGTCTGCCAAGCATGTGCTATCTGAGATCAGAGCCTAAGGGTAAGCAGTCCTTAGGAAGTCGGTGGGGGAAATGCTTTTCCTATGTCACAGTACCTCTGCAGGGGACAGCTACCATGCCTAGAGGCCTGGCCATCCACACACTTGGAGTCACAGAGGAATGAGGTTCATTGACCCTGACCTCTCTAACTCAAAGGAGGTGTTCTGCAGGCAATAGGGGAGGAGCCCCTGGCCTCTCACTTTCCCTGTCAGATGGAATGCAGGGGACATTTCATGCAAAGAACACAGGCATTTCTTTGACAACAGACTTTAGACAGTTTCCTCTCATCGCCACAAGCTTCAGGAGTTACCAAAGAAGTTTCTTTCTGCTTGTGCAGAAAAAGAACACACATTCAGTTTGGGTTTTTATGCATTGAGTCAAAAATAAGGGAAAGCTTGCACTTTTCTCTGAGTCTATGCAAAGGAGTGATTTCACCAGGAGAAACAAGAGAGGCAAAACCAATGTTGCCTTTGAAGGATTGTACCTCAGCATGGCACCAAATCCCTTCCTCTTCATTTTTCTCTCTGGGTCTTCATTTTCCTCTTTCCGCTTTTTCTCCTTGACTTTCAACTTGCCCTTTTCCTTTTTCTTCTCTTTCTCCTTGACTTTTTTGCCTTTTCTTGCTTTATTTTCCACGTCCTCTAGCTTGGAGTTCCCCTGAGGGGCAGACTCATAATTCAGAGCTCCTTGTCCAGAGTGAGAGCTCTTATCAGACAGACCATCTGTACAGAGAAAAATCAATACACATGGTCAGGGGCACTTTCTATATGGGTAGTACAGAAAGAAAAATCAAAATGTAAAATACAGAAGAATGAAAAGAAGAGCTCCAGAGTTCTACCTTTGCACACGGCTACTTGTACCCTTTGAAGACACAACTGCCTAAACCTGGTTACTTCAAGCAAGGTTGCAGGCTGGGAGTAAGTAGGGCCCATTGGTTTCTTAGTTGGTAGTATGAAAAGCTTGAAATGTGTTAAACCACTAATCTCTCTGAAAGCGGGCTTGTTAACCTTGATCAGCTCTCAAGCCCACATGCTGGGAAGCAAACAGGGCAAGTTTCTTTCAAGGAGAAGTTTTTGAGTACAAATATAACCCAACTGCTTCTACTCAATTAATGCAGTCAGTCCTCTGGTTGATGCTCCTTTGAATGATTCAAATAAGAATGTCAAGAAATGCATACTTAGCATTCATACCCTAAGGGTAAATGACAGTTGGTCCTTGTAGAAAAGTGGAAGAGAACATTTCTTCACTGTAAAATAAATTGCATATCGTGTTCTCCAATTCCATGTTCATTAAGCCAAAGGGCAAAACATATCAGGAAAATGAATTACTTTTAATATCAAAAATATAATTGTGGTCCTTAAATGATTTTCCTCAGTAGTTAAGCCCACATTCTTGCCTATCATTTGCAGATAATAACGAGAGGAGAAACCACTTAAGGCAGCATATTATCCTACCAGTTTCTAATTCCTCAGGTCCATCATAAGACTTGTCAATAGCTGCTCTGAAGCTCTCATTGCAGCCTCGGCCTCGAACCATGTGCGGCCGGGGCCTGTGAAAGGGAAGTTCGTTCTTCCTGACTTCGGCCACAGCAGTCTGCAGACTCTCCAAGGAACTGGACTTTTTCAATCCCAGAGTAGGACCAAAATCTTTGCTTGGAGATTCTAGAAAAGAAAGGGCGAATGATTACCTTTCCCATTATGGGGCAGTGTGATAGAATGGAAATACTGATTCTAAGAAAATTTCTGTTTGGGCATCATCAAAAAGAAGGGGTTAAGTAAATAGTAGCTGGGGATTAAACTCCAGATTTGCCTCTTGTTGTGACCTTGAGCAAGAGTTTTGGATTTCTCTGAACCTTAATTTCTTTTTTTAATCTCAATTTAAGATTAGAATAATTAAGTATATATGACATATAGAAATTTATATGAGTGTGATTATATGTATATATGGGTACATGCACTTGTGAATTTGAAAGGTTGTCACCATCTACAGAGATTATATGTTATGAGAGCACACACAAACACACAGAGCACTTAAAACTTCTCTCTCAGACCTATCCTAGGCATTGCCACACGTTGAACCTATTGTTCCCATGGCTGCTTATGTGACTATTAAGTAACATATTATGCCTAGGAATCAAGAAACATTAGTAATTTTAATTTTTGTGATTAAATGCTTCACCTTACTCTAGTGGGTATTAATGTGTGATGAGTGCATATTATTTAGTCTCTAAATAAATGAAGCAAAGCCAGAAAGAAAACAACTTTCCTATGTCCCTGATGCTGTTCCAACTGTATTTCTATTTGGGATGCAGAAAAGGATAGTGTTTTGTTTTTTTTTTTAATAATGTAAAATTACAAAATAGAACACAGGAAACACAAGTGAGCTTTAACAATCTTTTTTTTTTTTTTTGGATATATATTCTTTTCCATTTTTGTAGGTTTTCTCTTGCCCAGTACCTGCTTCCTTCCATTCCTTGACCTCCATTCCCACCTTCGCCAGATTCCTAATTATCTCTAACAAGATTAGGCTATAGAAATATTATCAGCAAAAGGGGTATTTTAAAAATGGAAAGAATCCTGTCAAGGCCCTTGTTCCTACATTCAAAGCTTCCCACCAGGGCCAAACCTTAGTTATAAAGGATATTATTGTCATCAAGAGGTACACTTGCATTTCTGGAAGTAAACTAGTGTGGAGTTTTTTAATAGATATAGACTGAGCACATAAGAAGGATTATGTATACAAAGTACCCACTTCAATGCATAGCATATTGTAATGCTCAATAAACAGCTTTACCTTTCATTATTTTGACTTGTACTACCATTACCACCATGAACCATACAAGTAGTTGCCGAATACAATATCAGTTAACAGAAGGAATTCAAAAGAAGTACAATGAAGGCCTAATGCATATGTACAGCAACATAAAGTTAAATAGCAATGCACACTCATCCATCTGTTCCAAGATTCGTCAAAATGGTCAGAGTAACAACAGTGCTAACAGCCAGCTAGCAATGCATGGTGCAGTTAGTTTATGCCAAGCACTACTCTAAGTGCTTTATGATGTTAACTTACCATAATCATTTCAGTTTTGCTACTGGCATTACTGTTACCATTTCACAGATGGTAAAACTGAAATAACTTCTTTAAGTTGAACACTGAATAAGCACCCTAATTGGGAACTGACCAGAGACTCTAACTCCAGTTTTTCTGCTCTCTTCCATATACTTTACTGACTAAAGATGAATGTATCCAGTCTCTGCCCTCTACATGATTATGGTCAAGCTAGGCTTAAAGTACATTTTCCTCATCTCTAAAGGGAGAACACTACTTTAGATTTTCCCTGGATCCCAGCTAAGCAGGCAAACTGCAAAAATGGGATGTTGCTTTAAGGTTTCATCATTAACTTGTAAGAGGCAACTTTGAACAATATACATGATAACAATAAATGTTGCACTTTATAGGTGACAATGTATATTCAACAACTATAATAGACAAGAGATTAAGTAAACAACATACAGGAAATTTTGGGGATGAATATCAGATGCTACTTGCAAGCATAAATACGAGGATACGTTATGATTAAATACAGAGAGGTGCGATTCTTCTATTCACAGGAAGGAAGGTAAGTTGAAGAGACAGAAATTGAGTAAGACCATTTCTGACAAGAAAAACAAAAGCCAACCTAGAGGTTTAGGGGATTAAAGCAACTGTAGAAAGCTTTAGAGTTTACAGAAATTATTTTTGCCACCAACCCCTAGGGATGTCTGAGGTGGGGGGGGGAACTATCTGAGAAAGCCTAGATTCTCTGTGAACAGCTGCAACCATTTTTTATTTATTAATTGCCATTCAGGAGATTATATGAGAGCCTGAACTGTAAACATTCATGTCAACCTTTAGCAATAAATTCCAGAGAACCTGAAAGTGACTAAATCACCCGAGATACAGGCATGCTATCTAAGCATCTCACCTATGGCTTGGCAAGAAATCCTATCTAAGAAGGAGCAAGAACCCAGTTACTCATTCTAAGCAAACTGAACATTAAGAAGTCATGGATTTTATAGGATTAATAGAGCTGGCAATTAAATCACTTTATATAAATAGAAATCCTAAATGAGAAGCAGCAGCTGATATTGACATTATGATCTAGCGCTATTCGATGGAATACACAGTAAAATCAAAAGCAAAAAAGGGAGGTTGAATCCTAAGATATAAATTCGGACTCAGGGATTTTCAGGCCTGGAGTAAACAGAAAGCAGTGGTAGAAGAGACACTGCTGTTAAAGAGGAAAACCCCAAATCAGGAAGGTTCTTATAAGGACTTCTGGGCACAGTGAACAGACTGAACTGGATATCCTAGTGAAAGGGGACTGTGACAGGAGCCTCACCAGGGCCCAACATGTTCTTATGTGTCTGAGGGCTTTGACAAAAAGTCAATGTTACCAGCTGTGGGAGGGATTAGTACATCAGTTGATGGCATGGGTGCTAAATTCCAACCAAACACTTGGAGGAAGTAGCCTATAATATAAAGATTGAGAGTACAATAATTTGTCACATGCAATTCCTACTTCTACCCTCATCAGTTTCTGTTTATGTTAACAATGTCTAGGAAATTTTATAGCTTTTAGAATAAGAAGATTCACCTTCTATTTCTAATTCCACCATTTGTACAGATCATATTTTTTTTTTCTAGGCTACCTCTAAAAATAGAGGTCCTTGAAGGAATAATATAAAGTGAGTAATTTATCAAAATCAAAACCTTGGTCATTTGATCCCATTGAGGTTACCCCAAAATATAATGATGTCACATTTTCATGTGTAGCTGATGTGATACTGACTATGGCTGATTTTAAGTAATTGTTTGTGAGAGTGATCTATGAATACCACGTGTTATTCGTTATGGGGTGGACCTTGTCCAGACTTAAGCATTTGTTTGTCACAGTCCAAGTATTTATAAAAGTAATCTGAATATGAGTGTTCATTGATTTTCAGGCCACTTAGGTTACTTGCAAATGCCAAGGAATAAATCTCTTTGCAAACTTTAGTGGCCAGGTTTTATTTTTTAGCCTATGACTTCTATATCCAGTGACCATGTTCTCTCAGTTCTAAGTGATCTTACCCTTCCCTCACAAACATAAACTCTTTTTTAATTCATTTATTCACATGTGCATACATTGTTTGGGTCATTTCTCCCTCTTGCCCCCGCCCCCACTCTTTTCCCACCCCCCATCCTTTCTAGGCAGAACCTGTTCTGCGCTTTTCTCCAGTTCCACAAACATAAACTTGACACACAAAAATGTTATGGAACAAATGATACAATGATAAACAAGGGTGCTAAAGATGGATCTTGTATGATAAAAATTATTCTCAGGATGAGATACTATCCTTAACACCATGTGCCAAATTTCCCCTTAAGATTAAGATCTCATAAAGAAATATTACTGAAATGTATTGTTTTAGAAGATGTTGTAGCGCTTTCAAAGATTCCACTTGTCCCCAAATACAGGATTTATTTGACCTGGTCCTCAAAGCCTTCCATATACAGAGTAGTGAGGAATTTCAGGTAATGCCTTCCATACCTAACAATCCTTGGATACATTCACTAATTCTCTCCTTCCAGAAAAATACAGTGTCACCTACACACAAAACTATATACATTCACAAAGATTAAAGATTTACATAGTTGTACTTCAATTTTTCCTATAGGCATGAAAGAGGTGGCAGTAACAACATCTAGATGGAGAGGTGCCAGTAACAACAAAAAGATTGTTTTCTTTTTGGTGGTACTGGGGCTTGAGCTCAGGGTCTTGCACTTGCTAGGCAAACATTATACTATGTGAGCCCTTCCCCCATCCCTTTTTGCTTTAAGTTACTTTTCGGATAGGGTCTCACACTTTTCCCCACAGCCAGCCTCAGGTCATAATCCTCCCACCTTCACCTCCAGAGTAGCTGAGATTGTAGGTGTATGTGACCCTAGGTTCTTAAAACATGGGGAAACTGCTAGTCCAGCCAGGTAGAAAGCCCCGTTTCAATGTTCTGTGAAACAGAAAGTCCTTTCTGGTGGACTGCTTGAATGTGGGCCTCAGTCTTGGATTCCCACAGCTGCCTTATAGCTAGGAACTGCTGCTGGTTCCCTACAGTCTGGCGACTAGATAATAGAGAAAAAAACTGTATAGAGAGAAGTGGCTAGCCACAAATGATTAAAAGGAGAAGCTGTACAATGTTAAGCACTCCCCACTCTGCCAATTACCTTTTGAGTTATTAGTTTCTTTGTATCAGTGTCTTTATCTGTAAATGAGGGTGAAACAAGCACAGAAGTGTGCCTGGGACATAGTGAGAGATCATTAAGCATTGGTGGTGATTATGTCATTCTGACTTTCGTGCCACCTCTAAGCATCTGAACGAAGCCCTAGTACAATTGATTTGGCTTAATCCACCACTGCATTCTTACATACAGCTAGGCCTGCCTCAAAAACTAAAAAGGACTATAAAAGAATACTATCCTCTTTTATATTCAGAAATTAAACTGATCTTTAAAATATAACTCCTTAGGGAGTGAATTCAACTATCATATTTGATACATTGTAAGAACTTTTGCAAATGCCACAATGTACCCTCAACCCAGCACAATAAAAAATGTTTGCTCAAAAAATAAATAAAATATA